TTCCGCGTTTTGCGGCGTCGCTGTCGGCGTAACCGCCCAACTAAACTTGGCAGGAAATTGAATTAATGTTGCGGTCATGTGACGTTAATATTTCCGCTAAGTCTAGCTGAGAAACTGAATTTTTTATGGATGACATGACACGGTCATGCGACGTCATTTTCCCCGCTACTTTTAGCAGAAAAACTACATTTGTGTTGAGGTCATTTGTGTTGAGGACAAGGTCTAGTCTGCATATATTTTTGCATTCATGCTGAAACTGGGAGGGGTTTCCGCGCTAAATTTAGTGGGAAACTTAACCCGCTAAATTTAGTTGAGAAATTTTCCCGCTAAATTCAGGGAAATTTGCCCCTAAATGGGAGGGAGCAGAAGAGGAGGAGGGGAGGGGAAGGAGGGGCATACCCTCCCATCTTCCTCTTCAAGATCTGTACTGTATTTTCACATTACAGAGAATTGTAAACGTGTCATATTTCATCTCATGTTTATTCAACTTTTATATTGCAGGTGCGCTTGCAGCACAAATCTGGGTTGTGCTGATCCTCTACGCACAAGTTAGGAACTCCTGAATGGCAAGAGTGGGAGTTTGGTCTGACAGCTCAAGGGACACCATTGTTCAGTATTGAATTTTTAATTATCTTCTTTTGAGCAAAGTTAAGCTTTGCTGCTTGCAGTTCTTTTAAAAATAAATACCTGCAACCAAATTTACCAGGTCACGACATTTTGCCTCTGCTCTTAGTGCTCCTGGTGAGCCTTGGATAAGAGCTTACTGGTGTGCAAACATCATGTTTGTTTGAAACCACTCACTAATGTAGACTCGCTGACATCCAGCATTCCAATGAAACGCTGGATGTCCACAAGTCTTTCTTGAACAATGCAAGCGGGAAAGGAACCATACAATTGTATCGTATTGGGGGACATTCTAGAGAGTGTTTTTTTGTATCTTTTACAGACTTTAAAAAGCCATAAAAGCTACATTTACGCGGTCTGTGCACGTGAGTTGCATGGCCAGGGCAGCATAGTATAAAAGACTAATTTGTAATGTTCAGTCGGGTTATTACAGGGATGTGCCAGACTTCTTTCAGAAAACTAGATGGAGGTTCATTCTAGCGTAGTTTTATCCCGCAAACCTAAATATCCCATTCGTTTTCCTCAAAGATATAACTAAACGTGAGAAAACACAAAAAAAAACCTCCTACCAATAGTGACATCGTAAGAAGACCTTTCGGCCGCGAAGCGTTTGTCGCTTAAGGGCCGCGCGTCCAATCGCAAGTTTTCTAGGTATATTCTCTCGCATTGGCACCAGTCGGGACACATTTTTTTGCCCTTTTAAAAAATAGCACGTGCGTGCATAGCTTTGATAGGTGCTGAAGATGCGTGAGCAAAGATTTCGAAAGCTGCTTTTGTGACGTCGCTCTCCAGGGAAGTGCTTTCACAGCGCTTTAAAAATGACTATGCAGCCTCGATTCATAAAATTACCAAATAATTTTGATATTTGAGATTCTGGAGGTCATATGAAGAAGATTTAAAAGTGTTTTCTCAAATACAAAACCGCTTCAGCCTCTCTCTAAGTATAGTATGTTCCTGAAATTTTTAATCAGTGAAAATAGATTCATGGTTCCAATTAGAAACTTGCTAAGCGTCATCAAAACACACTAAATCAACTTTCTTTGTGAAGATTTAAGACAAGAGAAGCATTTTATGGCGTTCTAAAAAAATGGTCAATTTGGACGCGTTTCCAGACTTCGGTTTCTTACCAGAGCGCATCTTTGCACCTGCGGTCCTGCTGCCCGGTGGCCGCAGTGCGAAGCCGACCCCTCGCCTCCCTCGTAGGATGGAGGGAAGCAAGGCGCACATGTGTTGCGCGTCTAAGCCCCTGGGGAACAGGACTGTGGGCGCAGACATATGAGCTCTGATAAGAAACTGAAACCTAGAAACTCGTCCAAATAAAGAGTTTTTACAGAATGCGTAAAATGCTACCCCTGCATTATATCCTTCTAGAAAGAGTTGATTTTGTGGTTTTCAATGACTCAGCAAGTTTCTAATTGAAACCATATTTTCATTTTCACTAATTAAAAAGTTAATTGACAAATTGTATGTAATTATCTGACTGATTGTTACGATTAGGTCCCTATACTATGTACACCTGGCCGTATAACTCGGCTGCACAAACCGCATTAATTTAGCTTTCACGACCTTTCTAAACATATACGTAAAGCTTAAAACTAAATCGCCCTGTACAACAGTGACAAGGCGAAACCAGCATGGTGAAGCCATACGGCTCCACCATGCTGGTATCGCCTTTTCGCTGGTATAGGATGTCCCATATTACGTTATGCATGTATGGTTCCGTCCGCCTCCATGGTTCCGCCATAATCCACTACGCTGGTATAGGATGTCCCATAATATGACACGCTTGTATGGTTCTGCCTACCTGTATCATTCCGCCTTAATCCACTATACTGGAGCCGAGGTTTCGCTTGTATAGGATGTCCCATATTACGGTTACGCTTGTATGAGCCTTTTCCATCATCTTTCCATCATCGAAATTTTCCAATAGGGACGGGCCGCTTTTATTTGAACGAGCAGACGACAAAAAGCAGACAAGTTTAAAAGAGCAGACGAAAGTTCAAACGATCAGGCGGCCGTGTGAATATGAAGACGCACTGAACCCGTGGGTGGTCTGGACAACTTGGGGGTTTTCTCTCGTTCACGTTGGAATGAAGCAAATACATCTGGCGACCACAAAGTGTTGCCCGCACGCGCAATTGTAGTTCGACAGCGTCTGGTTTGCCCTTTTTACGGCTACTATCCACGTTCTCGGATGAACGGAGGGGGCAAAAACACATGAAAACTGATCTTCAAACCTTTCCAGACTCTCTTGGTACAGCCCCCATCTCAGCATTTTGACGAGAAGGCAGGTTTTTTGTCTCGTTTCTTCCAAAGGAACACAGGAATGCATGCCTGGCACGGCAACTTCTGCCCACTGCCCCAAACCGGAAGTGCGTCCGGCGCGCCACCACCGCGGCGTGATGTAGGAGAGTTGAGTTTGTGTATATCTGGCGTGTCAAAATTTCCCTTTAAACTTGGGTGGGAAACAGTGACGTACCAACTTGTTTTTGAGGGAGGGGGGCAAACCAGCCCCCCCCCCCCCTCAGCGCCGGACGGCGGTGCCCTTGGTATCCCTTGGGCGCCACTGGCCAATGTTTTCCCTCCCACTGGCAGCAGTTTCAGGGGGGGGGCATAATGCATGCCTTGCCCCCCCCCCCTCCCCCCACCCGATTGGTACGCCCATGGTGGGAAAGTGGGGGTACGGCTAACATAGGATAATTTCGGCATTCTGATAATTCAGAACTTTGGGCGTTTTGTATGCTTCCTGTCCAAGGAGCTCACTCTCTTGCACATATTTGTGTCCACCTTCTTGTGTGGAACTCAATCCTTGTGAATGGGCCCATCGATGTGCCACAAAACAGGACACATCATAGCAAGAATAATATATATATAGACTGCAGACACCACAAAAAGGCCAGTGGCCCCTACCCAATTCTATGGACTTCGGATAAAATGCACAACTTGCATCCGGGTTGATGAGGACGACATCAGCCATCCACCTCACATTTCTCGCCAGCACGCGGTTCAGCAGGAGTCTGCGGCACTCAGCCTCCCAGTCGAACCAGCACCTTGCAGCACCTTGAACACGAAAATGGTGCTCGCAATGCTCCGCAGGTGCTCCACAAGGACCTATAAATGAGTGAGCAAGTTGCACTGTCCGAATTTCGGGGTCTTTGGCCACAAACACAAATATAAGGACAAAAATAATCGGTGTACCAGGATGTCACTGACGATCACGTCCGGTGGACAGTGGTTCGCCAGGTCGTTGCCTCCAACGTACAAAACCGCAAACTTCATTGGCTTCAGCCACCACCTTTGCACCTGCCTGAGCAACGACGCTGCAGTGACCCCCCTACCCTAGGCGTACACATACGCACGCCACATGCGAATTGCAGGCAGCGCACGCTGAGCCGTTTCAACTGGCTAGCTATCCATGTCGCTAACTGCAGAAGAATGGCAGCGACGAGTGCAACTGACGACAAAGAGAAAGGAATGGATTGGATCTGATTCCGGCAGGTAGACGGATGAACCCTACAGGGTGAAACAAGGAGATGCCAGGCTCTTTAAATCGGCCGGAAAATTCGGTTTCTTAAAGGGGCCCTCCGGAGCGTTCTGCGATGGTCTATATATGGCGGTAACTCAATCTATGGGTCCTAAGGATCCTAAAAATCGTAAAATTACAGTCATGCGCGGCGGATTTCCCTATTAAAATTGCTATCAAAGTCCCCGGCACGCCCCCCTTTCTGAGATGACCCCGAAAAACGGGAGGGGCATCTCTTTACGCATCAGCCAATGGCAATCGAAGGATTCCAGTGTCACTGCGCGTCACCGACCGCCGACCCGCGAAGGAATCTCTCCAACGCGCGGACCGTCGTCAAGGGGCCCGGACCAAAGTTGCCCGGACTTTGTGCTCAGCATTCGTCGTTCGTCGCATCCCACGGTCGCGCTATGGACCTTTCGGACCTAACGTCTCTAGAGCTCGAAATCCTGGAACGGACAGCTGACATGGGTGCCATATCCTACGATTCGACCCCGATGCGCGACGTCGACGAACGCAGCGCCGCGGGCACCGACTGTGGCAACGACGAACGGCCGCGCCGCGGTGAAGCGAGTCCGCAAGAGCTGGAAGACGCACCCGACGATGGAACCGGGCGGCTTGGGAACACGGACTGGTACGTGGTGCGCTCCATTATACCCCGCTTTAATGGGTAATTGATGCGTGTTTTCTGCGAAGGTGTCTATGTGGTTCCTGCGCGCCGATGGAGACCGTCGTCGAGTGCGTCTGCTGCCGCGAATACCCGGCCGTCGCACGGAAGCAGCAGGGCCGGCAGGGCTGCGTAACGGGCCACCCGGACTTCGAGGCCCTGTGCCTCAACCCTGAGGTGTTGAGGTTGGCCTACCTCAACATGCGGCACTACGGGCAGCAAGGGATGGGCGCAAGTGCCAGCGAGTGAGTACGATGTCATGCTTTGCGCGTGAGCAAACTCACCATGTCTCGGTGAGGACCGTGCCCTCGGCAACTACGTTCACTGTCCGATTCACAGCGTACATACGTACTTGTAATAACTTGTTGTTAGGCTAGATGAACGTTTAGCACCATCCTGGGAAGCGGTCGATGAATTGTTTGTGTTGCCGATAGTGAAATTAATCATAACCCCCACTGTCCAGGCGCAATATAGCGCTCCAGGGAGGCTTTCAAGAGACTAAATGAGAAGCAGCCTGCCTAGTTACCACCCAGTCATTTGTTCAATACAGAAACACGGACACTTCCAACTGCTGTCCCACTATAAACTACACATATTCTTATATGTTCTAAACGAACTGTTCTGACGAGACCGCCCTTTTCGAGCGTTACACTTCTTCCCGTTAGGCCAGATCATGGAGAGCTATTTTTCCTTGCATTTACGGTTATCAGTTTAGATATGTCATTTTCTTGCTCTGTTTAGATGCAATGTTATGCAACAATAGCACTATGAAATATATGACAGTCACATGGCCTCGTCTCTAGTCGAGACGGCCTCGTCTCGTCGAGAGCAATAGAAGGCGACACCTTGGATGTACATATGCTTTGGCGTTGTCCCCATGCCCAATGCTCCCTTACCTCCCTCTTTTTCACCCTTCTCGACCCTCTGACTAGGCAGGCTGGCTCACCCCCCCCCCCCCCCCCCAGCTTCAACTCGTTGATACACTACTGCTCCTACTGGTACAGCATGTCCATGCTGTACCGGGTGAGCACTGGTGGCCCCAATCAAGCACCGGACTATGGTGTAACTAATAAAGGTTCCCTCTCTCTCTCTTTCTCTGTCTCTCAAGAAAGCAGTGGATATCCCACACGTTTGGCTTTGGCGCAAACGACAAAGATAACGCAGTCCGTGTCAGAAACCCAAGTCTGGCTTGCAGCTTGCTCAAATGGTGTCTCTGAACAGAGCCGAATTAGCGCCTGAAGCCCCTCTACAAGCTCGCAGAGAGCAGGTGGCCGCAAAGGCTTGAAAGTCCTACTTTGTCAACGAGAGGCGAAGATTAACTCACTCCCGAGATTGTATTCGTCTCATGCAGTTTCCTTGCTTTTCTGTCTTAGCATAACTCAACAAAGGGTGAAAGCTACTGCCCTTGTGGGCCAGTCTGAGCGACGGAGCTAAGCACGTGCCAAAATTCCACAGGAGGAGTACTTGAAGACATTACGTTGTCACATGCATTGTTCTTACACGCCCCGATTGGCTTGCTGATGCCGTAGCTTTTGCATTTTCCCAAGTTCGGAAAAACGAAGAATTACTGTTTCCAGATTCTTTCCTGCTAGCTTCATGGACTGGACCAGCACTATGCTACAGAACAACACTTTTGAAGCAACAAATAAATAAGCACGAAGTTATCATATTGACGCAGTAATTCGCAACCGTGTTGGGGAAGGATGCTCCAGTCACTTTGTTTCTCAGAGCTAAGAGTTCAGAAAACTGCATACACCTACTTTATCTTGCATGCACCAATGCCTTGTTGCTATCTTAAAAATGAGCTTAGCTATGCCAGCTAAGTTGATGCTGGGCAATCTTTTTGAGAAGAAACAAACACCAACTGCTTCAAGTGCACTGTCAACGTCGACAGTACAGTTGGCACCTTCAGCTCAGACATCCTCGTTTTTTTACCTGGTCTAGTCTCTGCGTGTGACCTTCAAGCCCATCAAAACAGGGGCCGATATCAAAATGACGAAAATCAGAATGTAAAGGCCAAACATTGAAACGTCGAAAAATAAAATGCCGAACAGCAAAACGCCGAAAGGTGAGAATGCGTACATATCTGATCGCCATATTTGGTACGGTATTGGCAGATGCTAGCTGCACCAGTGTGTTGGAATCATGGAAGTGTCTTCTGCAAAATTAGGAGCATGAAAAATGTGCAAGCTGCGCTCGAAGACGATATCGAGGCAGAAATCAGATTAGAACCTCGCCATCTACCACACAAGAAGCAAAGCATGCGAGAAGAGAGCCTGACAGCCGCTTTGGGCAACTGGGACAAGCTCAACATCCTTAGCTTTCTTTGGGAAATACACACAAACTATTAGATCATATTCAACAAACAAAGAATTCCTCTGGCAGAACAAATGTTTCTTCCACTTTCTCAATCTAGAACCCTGTAGGTTCGTGTTGAACATAATATTTTGGAATTGTTTGGTCTCTGGTACCGGGTGATTCGGCTAATAGAGATTTCGGCGGTTTGTTCTTTCAGCATTTCGATAATGCATCCTTTCAATTTTTGGGTGTCCCAAGCGAGTGCAATGTTCTCTGGTCAAAACAATCAAAAACTTGAGAACGATGACATAGGCACAGATTGCTGTTGAGTCCATGGATGCCACTACGTCTTTCCTCTAGAAGGCAAGTGGAGACTTATATTCCAACCCTATCGGCAAAAGTCATATTCTTTACTCCAGTATCCAAATTGTCAGAAGGGGCTTTAGACGGTGTTTGCATGCTTTTTGGTCAAGAAACTACACAAAAAGGCAGTCATTGAAGGCTCATTGCTCTGGTTCGTGCACCGTTTACAATGCAATGGCAATGCGAACTAGAAACCTTCCATTCGCCCAGCGATGCAAAGTATCCCCCCTCCCCCCCCACACACACACACACCAGCAATGTAAAACACCCCCCTGAAACAAATTTCTGGCTATGCCACTGCAGGCCATGCACTCAAAAAAAAAAAATTTCCTCCTTCCCATACTATAATTGTCAAGGCAGTGCAGCCATATGGGGGGCGTACCATACTGATTTACGATTTATTTTTCCGCAGATATTGTCCACTTAGGGGTCGGTAGGTGTGTCGACCTCCTCAACGTAGTCCCCCTGGAGACGAACGCACTGGTTCTAGTAGTGTGGCAGCCTTTCCGTTCCGAGACCACTCTTTGGGAGTGCTTCGCACCCACGCCTGGACAGCCGCTTCGAGTTCACCAGTGTCCATGAAATAGGGTCCTCATAGGTGGTTTTTTTCATGGTGCTGAATGGCTGATGGTCACTGCGGGCTAGGTTGAGGGAGTACGGTGAATGTAGGGATGGGCATTGTCATGCTGCAAGAGCGTACCTGCCGCCCCTTTCCCTGGCAGCTTCTCGTGAATCGCGAAATCACCTGAGGGTAGCCACATACGGGGCGATGTTGATGGTGGTGGCCGGTTACATGCAGTCAATGAGCATAATGCCCTCCGTATTCAGAAAGCCACGCGAGGATGTCTTTGCGGACATTGATGACTCGGAGGCATCTGTCCAGGCGTGGCTGAGACACACTTATAAACAGTGCAGGAATGTGATTGCTGCGCCAATTGCGCCAAACTGCACCAAGGGGCTAACTTTGCTACATCCTGCTACATTTCACCGAAATATGGCTAATCCGTGCCAAGCCTGCGCCAAAGAAGCAATTTTGGTCGCCTTTCATAAACGAAACGAAACTGAGAACCGTAATTGAGCATGCGTAAGCTAGGTCGCACAAGACGCCACCCGACACAAAGTACCCTGTATTAATCGTCTATTTGGTCTTGCATGATTTTTCCCCACGTCTCGCGTTTCGTGCACTCGTCGTCTCAGGAATCTCGTCTCGCGTCTTTTTTTTTTTTTAGCGGTAGACACGGGCGTGTGCGGACTCTCAGACGTTAGTGTATCGGGTGCCAAACATGCCGTCATGCTGTGAGACAAAACCACGTTTTTGCGCGGCGGGAGTTACTTTTTGAGCTGAAGCGCTCGCGCGACGTCGTGTGTTGCCGTCCCCACGTCGCTGCAGATAGGGCGCTTACTAAACTGAAACGCATCGACATTCCTGCTCTTGTTTAAATCATACGCTGCTATAAAAATCCCTCTCTAACTCAATGACTGCTTGGCAAAGTTTTGATTACTTAGGTTTTTCCTGGTGGGCTTTCTTTCGAGAGGGACCCCGGTACGTGAAAAATCTGCCGCAAAAGAAAGTTGGTGAAGAGAAGTGAGCTAAAGCAAAGAAGGCAATGTCTGCACGCTGAACCCGCACAGCGTGCTTGTTTGTCTCGAGTTCAGTCGTTGCACGAAGCGCTCCAAGAACTTTTTTGACCTTGGTTCGCAGTGTCTTGCATCGATACGCTCAGGTTCTTTTTTTCTGTGTGTTTAACCTGTACCTCGCCTGCCGGCCTGGCAAGCACAAGTCGCTGGACTGTTTATTGTCGTATGCTGGACAGTTACATTTTGCATACTATTTTGGGAACCCTGCAGTTGGCGACGGAGCGCGGAGTGGCATGGTTTCGGTTTCGGTCGAACAGCCGTTGTCTCCGCCCGCGCGACGAAGCACGTGTAACTGCAAGCCTGCCGAAGTTGCCCTTACGTGCATGTGAACATCATTGCAACAAAGGCACCAGCCGGGACGCTTGCAATGCGTTGTTTTACGTTTGCTTACTTTTTTTATAAAAATCTGCCACGTCAAGAATTTTGGCGGTGCCAGAAGAGTCCATGTGCGTATGGCAGCTGCCTAATTTGCTGTGCCAAGAGCTGCACAATAGTTTGTGCTCACTTGATTGTCACAAGGGGGGACGCCACAACAGCCACACTTGCATCTGCTCGTTTTCTCTGTCGTAACTTTGCCGGCATCTGACAGCATGACACTTTGGCTCCCGTAACATATTTTGTTGCCACTTTGGGACGGCTTTTGGTCCATGGGAGGTATATAGGGCAGTAAACACCCCAGTCAGAGACATGTCAAGGCGTCCTGCCCTCCAATCCTTCCTAGCTTCGATCCCTTAATCCCCTGATCTAGTTGAAAAGCCAAAATCTCAAGGTGGGGTGATAATTATTGGGTGTCTGGGTCTTGATTTACACTATTTTTGGATGCAGATACCAGACACCCTGAAGCCGGTGGATGATCATCTCGACATGTTCCTTGTGGTGCCAGCAACACTTGCACCGCTGGTGTGGCATTCTTTGCACGCTATGCTGGGATAGTTTTTTAGGAGTGCCATGTCTGGACAGCTTATTCAGAAGCAGGCTGTCGTCGTCGAGATCCATGCTTTTTTTTTAACGGATGATGTTGCAGTGCCCACATGGGTGAGTATGACAGAAAGGATTCGAGATTGGAATAGGTCACCAAACAGTATCGCATCATTTTTCGTTAAAATATTTTTCTAACAACACTATTCATTGAAATAAACACTGAAATTCAAAGTTTCTCGTGCAAGAATGGGGAGGCCTGGGGGTGCTCATATGTATCCCCACTACTCTGATGATAGTAGTGTCACCTCTAAATCAACACAGCATAATGGAAGACATATCGCAGTCTAAAACGGGAAAAAATGTTGATATATGTGTCTTGCAGATGCGTATATGACCAAATAGCAAATGATTGCGGTGCCCTGAGCCCTAAGGTATTCAGGACCAATAAACACATGGGGGTGGTAGCAGCTGTCATGGCGAATGGAAGCTGTCAGAATGACATGTTCGGATATTGACACGGATTGTGTCGGAGAGACATGAAATCACAACTGCTGGAGCCACTCCAGTATTGCATGAGCACTTCAGCTCGTATGTTTACACCAAAACTGTTCTGTGCGAGCTTCATAGAACACTCATGGCCAGGCTGCTATTCTCAAATCCCTAATCACCAGTACCAATGCCAAGCTTCGGCAGTGCCAGCAGCACTTTAGACAATGTTAAATTGGGACGTTCTCTGATGAGTTCACATTCCCTGGCACTTGTGTGCAGGAAACCTTTGCAGTAGGTGTGTGCGAATATTGGTTCAAATTGAATAGTATGTTTGCCATAACCTTTGCGCTGCAAAGTGAAGCCGATGCAACCGGCTCGTTTTGCGCTGTTGATGCTAGAAACGACAGTGCACTATTTGATTCAAACCAATATTTGCACACCACTGCTTTACAGGCTTACGAACTGCACTGTTTTGTCCCAAATTAAACAACATCATATGGGGAGCTTTCCACTGTTCTGGATGAATGGCTCCCATTCCCTCTGGCCAGTGCACATAATTTTCATGTGTCCTTCCCAAAACACAGCGATGCAATATTCGTCACCAACACCAATGACAGATATTATCTACAATTGTGAACTGGGACCCTGTGAACTTATTTTATGTATCATGACCACGCAACAGATATTCCTTCCTTGTTAATTCCGGTGTATAACTGGTTGTTGTGTCGATTGGAGTTGGAGGTGCGTTAGGAGAACCAAGGCCTATAGTTTCTTTTTTTTTTTTTAAACTCTGGAGCATTTACAATGAATCTACAGCAGTTCACTTCAATTTGGCTTCCATGTCTAGCCCATCCGACATGGACTGCCAAATAGGGATTCTGCTATGTGATAGCTGGAGTGGACGTAACAGAAAAGCAGAGTATGATTACATGCCTAGAGAAATGAAAACAAGTGTAGAATTTGCCAACAGAGTGATAGGCTTTGCTTCTTACATCCAATCTCTGTCATTGTTCCAGGCACTACAGATTTGCAGCCTACAGGCAGTGTGCCCTGTGGCTGTGGAGCCGCTTGGGAAAGAAGAATAGGCGGCCCCTGCCATCCTGTGTGGTCAAGACAATTAGGGGCAGGTACCCTGCTGACGTGTATGCGGGCTACAGGGATGCAGAATAAATTGCGTTGACCTAGAGACCACGCAACCCCCTTCCCTTGTCTCTTCACCCTCCCTGCATGTGTGTGAAGTCGCTCGTAGCCAAGAACGGAATCCTCTAAATCACGTGACCTATTATCTACGATATCACGTGACCATAACTATGATCACATGATCGTAGTCAAACCAAAGCCAGTGCACCTACGTCACATTCAGTCACACGACGAAGCCGCCTCGGTGGCTCCGAGGCGAGAGTGCCGGCCTACGGATCCCCATGTGGCGGGTTCGAATCCCGGCCGAGGTGCCTGCAATCTGATGGAGGTATATTGCGGAGAAGGCAGCTTGGTAATCGAGCTTTCGATTGCACGTCAAAAGATCCCCAGGTGGTCGAAATTAATCCTCGGTCCTCCGCTGGGGCGTGCCAGATGCCCGTCGTTGGTTTGGCACGTAAAACCCCCAAATTTGATTTGAGTCGCACGACCGGATTGCTTCATTTTCCTCCTAGAATCCAAAGGCTGTCATCAAAACTACTAGGGCGTGAGAAGTGCTCATTTGGAACACTAACCTAAGCAGTAAAATTTGGCACCCACTAATACCATTTTAAAGTAAAGATAGAAAAAGCACCGATGTCATGTTCGCACTAACAGTGTTGTGCAGTGTACTTCTACTTTCTTCTGGATCTGTTCTTTCAAATGGAAAAACTGCATATAACATGGAAAAATCTGACTGCATGAAGCTACAAGATGCTTCCCTACATCTGCCGTCTGAGCGTGCCGGTGCGATGAGGCGAAGAAAGGCGAATTGCGATTGCTGCAGTTTTCAGAGGGACGTGGTCGATTGTTCCGAGGGTCTGGATGACGACGTGGCTAACATGACAAACAAATGACGTTCTGCTTGGGTGACTATAGTCCACTTCAATGCAGCGAACGACGGAGAGGAGGTCGCCTCCTCTCCAGCATTCGCTCTACTAAAGTGGAAAGAGGTGGGAGGAGCTTCCACTTCGTTCTTGACCTGTCACCGACTATAGGCATGCTGTAAATTGTATTACTTTTTTTATTTAGAATTCATTGCCAACCTACATTTCATTACTGTACTCTCAACATGTGCTCTAGTATAGACTTTTCCAGTCCAAGCCTTCTGCGAAATCCTTTTTTTACTTGGCTGTGGAATGCTTTTTGAGCATGCACAATAGATCCCCTGCATGGAATATTCTATGCCTCCACAGCCCAGTTACCCTGGATTTTTCCTCCCGGTGGTAAATAGGATCTGCTTATATATTTCAGTGAATACTACGATTGTTAGTTTATATTGTCGTTATAATTGGCAAGTATACTCTCACATCATGCAAATACTTTGAGGAAATGGCACAATTTCGGTCGGGTTTTTAGTTAGGCATAGTGCAGTATTCTAGTTACATCGACCCATGTATTGACCTCACAATGCAGAAATCATCCAGGGGATCACAAAATTAGTACTACCATCGGCATCACTTGTTTTCAATTATGAAATTATTTCCTTTTGGTCATGCAAATTTCTACACCTTCCAGGTTCTGGTACCGAGAAGTCAAGTTGTTGGAAAATTAATGCAGTTTATTTCAATCGTAAGGTTAGCGAATGTGCCTCACTTATTTGCAAGCAGGTCAATAATGACAGAAGACAAATGTTGCAGACGGGGGGAAAACCGTGGTGTAGACTGGAAAATGCAGCACTGTTTTTAAATTGCCATAAAAAACTTCTGTTAATATTTCCAGTGTTATATGCAACCACCCCACTTATGTTATTGCTGCATTACCAGCCTACCTCCTGGATGAAAACCCCATTTATTGGAAACACGGGCGGGCTGCCCCGCCTCGGTGCAGTCTCCACAGCATGTCCGCTCATCAGCACATGAAAAGAAAGATGGATAAGGCATTGTGTTACAGTCTTCAGAAAAGTGTCGGTTGGGTTCCGAAAATACTTCAATTTTCTAAAACTGCTGCGATGGGCTAAGCTTGTGAACTGGGGATGGGATCTCTGGTGCAGAACTACATGCTATTCAAAATAGCACTTGATCCGCCTTCATTGTGGTGTGCCCACAATGAATATGACAATACGGTCACCGATTTCCTCGATCTTGAAAGCTTGCACAAATTATAGCTAGGATCCTGCGTTCTTGAATTTAATTTTTTTTTTAGCAAAATTAGAGGGTGTTTTTTTTTTGTTTTGTTTTTTTGAACCATCAATTTGGAGCTTCCATTTATGTACGCAAAGTTCGGAGTCTTTCGGCATTTTCGATGAGGCAAATGAAAGGTAGAAAACAGCACTTTGTGAATTTAGTAAAGCAGTATTTTCATACGAGAGCGCCGTATTCATCTACTGTCGTAGAGGGCCTACCTCATTTTTATTATAAGGGGCTACATGGCAACGGAAGTTGACACTGCAATAAGAGGAGAATTGCAAAAATTGTTCGAAGATTCCGGGAAATATAAAGACTGGTGGGGGACCGAAAAATTGAGTTTTTCAAATGACTCTGAATCAGCAAAATTTTAACGGCTAGTGTTTTTTGGAGTTTATCAGGTTTATCTGAGAACGCAGAACCCTAATTACAGCTAATGGACTGGGAAGAATTATAGCACTGGCCTGTCCTCATCTCCTAATGCCTCTACTGTTGGCACTGATGTGCCAACAATAGAGGTGCACCATGCTGGGCTTGAAAAATCCGGCTTGAGAGGGCAGGTGCCAATGCTTGCATCTCTCCATTACGCTTGATCGTGGCCCTAAAATCAAGCATTATCAATAGAGGAGATCTGCATTTCTGTGAAAAATGATTGCAGACAGATCTAATGTCCTCCTTACTGTCGGTCAGGGTGTCCTAACGGAAAACAATGATCTATTTTGCAGCTCGGCTGTTTTCTCTTGGGTCTGTCTGCTTGCATTCGCCGTACGTTCTGCAAAACAAAGCGGTTATTGCCTACCATGGTAGTTTTCATTAGGACGAGGCTCCTGTGTGCTTACCACTGGCAGCATGAAAGATAGAACCAGGTCTTTGCTTCCTGCTGCTGTCCACCTCGTTGACAGACTTTCCAGCCAACAGTGAAAATTCAGACTTGCATAATTACATTCCTAGACATTCCAAGTTGGGCTAGATGGGCGTTCACACTGAAGTTAGTGTCGTCCTCACCGCAAGTTGAGCTGTAGCCTTGAATCTCGCTGTTTGGTGACTTTTCTGTGAGTCCGACATTGCCACCGGCTAAAGTTCCTTGCCCTCTTTTGAGATAGGCATGCCATGACCAGCTTGATTAGGCCCTAAAATGGAACATTCTCATGAGGAGAGATCTGTATTTCTGTGAAAAATGATTGCAGACATATCTAATGTCCTCCTTACTGTCGGTCAGGGTGTCCTAACGGAAAACGATGATCCATTTTGCAGCTCGGCTGTTTTCTCTTGGGTCTGTCTGCTTGCATTCGCCGTACGTTCTGCAAAACAAAGCGGTTATTGCCTACCATGGTAGTTTTCATTAGGACGAGGCTCCTGTGTGCTTACCACTGGCAGCATGAAAGATCCAACCAGGTCTTTGCTCCCTGCTGCTGTCCGCCTCGTTGACAGACTTTCCAACCTACAGTGAAAATTCAGACTGTTGCATAATTACATTCCTAGACATTCCAAGTTGGGCTAGATGGGCGTTCACACTGAAGTTAGTGTCGTCCTCACCGCAAGTTGAGCTGTAGCCTTGAATCTCGCTGTTTTGTGACTTTTCTGTGACTTCGACATTGCCACCGGCTAAAGTTACTTGCCCTCTTTTGAGATAGGCATGCCATGACCAGCTTGATTAGGCCCTAAAATGGAACATTCTCATGAGGAGAGATCTGTATTTCTGTGAAAAATGATTGCGGACAGATCTAATGTCCTCCTTACTGTCGGTCAGGGTGTCCTAACGGAAAACGATGATCCATTTTGCAGCTCGGCTGTTTTCTCTTGGGTCTGTCTGCTTGCATTCGCCGTACGTTCTGCAAAACAAAGCGGTTATTGCCTACCATGGTAGTTTTCATTAGGACGAGGCTCCTGTGTGCTTACCACTGGCAGCATGAAAGATAGAACCAGGTCTTTGCTTCCTGCTGCTGTCCACCTCGTTGACAGACTTTCCAGCCAACAGTGAAAATTCAGACTTGCATAATTACATTCCTAGACATTCCAAGTTGGGCTAGATGGGCGTTCACACTGAAGTTAGTGTCGTCCTCACCGCAAGTTGAGCTGTAGCCTTGAGTCTCGCTGTTTGGTGACTTTTCTGTGAGTCCGACATTGCCACCGGCTAAAGTTCCTTGCCCTCTTTTGAGATAGGCATGCCATGACCAGCTTGATTAGGCCCTAAAATGGAACATTCTCATGAGGAGAGATCTGTATTTCTGTGAAAAATGATTGCAGACATATCTAATGTCCTCCTTACTGTCGGTCAGGGTGTCCTAACGGAAAACGATGATCCATTTTGCAGCTCGGCTGTTTTCTCTTGGGTCTGTCTGCTTGCATTCGCCGTACGTTCTGCAAAACAAAGCGGTTATTGCCTACCATGGTAGTTTTCATTAGGACGAGGCTCCTGTGTGCTTACCACTGGCAGCATGAAAGATCCAACCAGGTCTTTGCTCCCTGCTGCTGTCCGCCTCGTTGACAGACTTTCCAACCTACAGTGAAAATTCAGACTGTTGCATAATTACATTCCTAGACATTCCAAGTTGGGCTAGATGGGCGTTCACACTGAAGTTAGTGTCGTCCTCACCGCAAGTTGAGCTGTAGCCTTGAATCTCGCTGTTTTGTGACTTTTCTGTACTTCGACATTGCCACCGGCTAAAGTTACTTGCCCTCTTTTGAGATAGGCATGCCATGACCAGCTTGATTAGGCCCTAAAATGGAACATTCTCATGAGGAGAGATCTGTATTTCTGTGAAAAATGATTGCGGACAGATCTAATGTCCTCCTTACTGTCGGTCAGGGTGTCCTAACGGAAAACGATGATCCATTTTGCAGCTCGGCTGTTTTCTCTTGGGTCTGTCTGCTTGCATTCGCCGTACGTTCTGCAAAACAAAGCGGTT